GTGTATTCTTTTACATTCCCCTACACATTCCTACCCACTTCCCTCTATCCTCCCATCTCTGGATCCCCTTCTCCCATTTTCCGTATTTTTTTACTTTGTGTTTGTGACATATAACAATTATATTCATTTTAGGTAGTTGGTACACGTACCTGACACATCTTAAATCTTTTTACATCCCCTTTCCATCCCTCTGCACCGGAGGTCCTCTTTCATGTCTTTAGCTGTCATGGATGTCTCGTATCCTGGATTGATTCAAAACATTTAATTTTCATGGTCATTTTTACTTTGAGAAGATTCATAACAGAGCTGGTGAGAAAGGCAGGTGAGGGCACACTGTAATGTTTTTAAGAGCGTGTTTTTCTCTTAAATGATACATGGCACAACATTTATTGTATCACACCTTGTAAAGCCACTCATAAAAGACTTCCAGAACTGCTTCAGAAAGTGACAAGAACAATGGAATAAGTGTGCTCCAAGCAAGAAGAAATATTCTGAGTGTATCAATAGCAATATGTCTTTCAGTGTAATATGTTTTTAAAATTTAAACATTTGTTGTCTATTTTGATCCCACTTCCTGTTGCTGTTTTAGAATATTAGATGGAGTAAAAATCAAGAAACAAACGGATATGACAATTGTTTGGGAAAAAAATTTCATAGTACTCATGATTAATTTCATTAAGAAAAATCAGAGGGAAAGTCATAGATAACCCTCAAGTGCCTGGATTGAGAAGATGAAGGTGCACCATACACTGAGGTAGGGAAGCATAGAAGTGGAGTAGACTTGAGAAGGAAGTTGGCATTTCCCACTTCCCAAAACACAGAAATGAAAGCAGCTGGGTTTCTGTTTGTCAAACACAACTATCAGGCCTTACTGTGTCATCTTAGCAAGCCACATTGCCTTTAATTGTTGTGTCTACTTTCAAGCTGTATGCTTTTGGCCTCTCCCCATAGTCTTGCAGGATAATGGTATTATTCTTTTTGGCCAAAGTAAACATTTCTATTGTGTGCTTGTATTGAGTGTATAAGTCTGCTTGAAAGTTACAGTCTCTAGCCCACATACAGTCTTTCAACTAAGACCCTGCTTAAGAAGATGAAGAAAACCTTTCCAAGAACTGAGCCTGTGACAAGAGGGGTGAATAACAGTGTTTAAATAAAGATTATGCTGCAAGGGCTGCTCTTGTCCAGCCTTTAATCTTTGCTGGCTCGAAGTGGGGTGGGTTGGAAGCCTGGCCCACAAAGGACTTGGAGCATGTTGCTGTAGTCCTGAGAGACAAAGATTTGGAGACAAGCAGGCCTGAGGTTGAATTCCAGTATCTACTTGCTAAATTACCTTAGGCAAGTCACCCAACTTACTTTCCAAGCTGCACTTTCTTGAAATGCAACAATATGATTTACCTCATTAGGTTTGTTTGGAAATGGAAAGAGATAACACCTATAATTACCCTGTCCCAGGGTGTGGCACAAGGTAAGCCTGCCATAAACAGGTACTCTGTGTCCCAGCCACTTAGTGGAGATTGCTTTTCTGAAGCATGAACACATGGTTAGTTGTTATTTCCTATTCTTCTAGATACTAAAAACTTTTTAGACAACTACAATGATAATAAAGCTATAAAAATAACAGTAAATGAAAAAGTTCTCTGCTCATTTTTGAGCTTCAGGCACAAATATATTTCATTGTTTCAATCAATAATTCACTCAAGGTTGGGGCCACTTGTTTAATTCTCTAGTTTCTCAAAATTCTCCAATATTGCCCTTGCTGTGTACTCTAGTGGATATTATTTTTATTCACTTGGAAGTATGGAGGTAGACACACAAATATATCCACCAACATATTTTACCATCATATGAGTTATACATTAATTTCCTATCCAAAATTACCCTATCACAAAGGTGACTTTAGTATCAGTTGAGAAATACTCGCTGAAGACTTTTTTTGGTTGCCTTCTCTAGAGAGTTTCTGGTATATTTGGCAGTAACATTATTATCTAAGCCATAAATCATGTCTGTGAGATTGAAGTCTCTCGTGACCCTCCTTGAACTTGGCTGCCTTGGTGAGGGTATTTTGTGTGAGGGATACAGGCGCTATAACCTTGGGCTACTTTGCCTTCTGTGGGTCCTTATTGACCTGGTAGGCACTGAGTAATCTCTTTCTTTTGAGCATTTCTCTCCATCTAAGGCAGTTTGTGGAAATTGAAACCTCAAGAAATTTGTTTCTAAATGCCCCAGTGAGAGTTATCAACCAAAAGCAAAACAAAAATTGTAATGAAAAAGTACTCCAGACATTAACATCAAAATTATTTTTTCATTTTGCCCAAATGTACAGGAAGGACTACATATTATTATTATTACTTATTGCATGAGCAGTTCCTAATACAACAGTGAGGTTTTTCAAGACATATTTCTCAGTATATAGGCAAACAAATAGACAGCAATGTGGCCTTGAGAGTATCTCAAGGCAATTGCTAGGCAATGCTACTTAGACGGAATTAGACTCACTTCTCACCCCATTTAGATCAATCTCACTTTTCTTCCTTCTGCAACGTGCATTCAGTTAAACAAGGATGATTTCTTCTCTTGCACTAGTTTCTAAATTGTGATTGTTCTGTGTGCCTGGTCTAGCCCTGTAAGTAGAGGTGCACTCTGGTGGGTAGACCTTTTGTATGGGGGGACTTGACTAAGCGTCTGAGCTAAAGCAATTTCAGAATTCCTTAGGAAGCTAGGTCTATTAATCCAAGAAAAATGATATTAACATAAGAATTTGTTACGACAAGTTAATTACAGCTCATAAACTTACTGTTCTTTAAACTTTTAAATTGCATATTATATTTGCTTATCATGAGGAATATTGTTAGTAATAAAAATGTTACTTTCCTACAACTTTCAGTGAACTCAGTTTTTTATCATAAGAACATTGAGATCAGGAAAATGTATGTAAGAAATTTCAAATGTTGCTATAATTTTTTTCCTTAAAAATACAAAGGAAATATAAATTTTTAAAATTTAGGAAAAGTGGATGTAACTATATGGGTATGTGTTGCATTGTTTTTTTAAAATTTTTTTAATTTAAAGAATAGAACAAAACAAATAGAATAAAGCAGATCAAAAGAAAACAATACAAGCAACACAGGATTTCAAAACAAGACAACAGGAAATCAATACTGGCTACCATAATGTCTCTTGTTTTCTTTGAAATAGTTGTACATATCTTCACAAATAATGAATTCAAATAACAAAATAGTATAAAACCGATCAAAACAAAATAATGTAAGCATGACAGACCTTCAAAACCAGACAGTAGGAAAATCAACAATGGCTACTATAATGTCTCTTGTTCTCTTCAAAATAGCTGTCCATACCATCACACATATTGAAATTAAATAATACCAAACAGGCTAAAACCAATCAAAGAATGAAAGCACTACTGGACTTCACAACAAGATGATAGGAAATCAGCAATGGCTATCATCATGTCTCGTTTTCTTCAAAGTAGCTGTTTATACCATCGCACGTAGTAAAATCAGTTCTTATAAATTCTTTAGAAGTTTAGGCATGTACAAGCCTGTACATGTACATCTATTGTTTCTGTATTAGAGGGAAAAACAAAACTAAAAAAATATAGTACAAGAAAAACAAATAAAAGAGACAAATTAACAACAAAGAGCCCAAAACAATGACAATATAGGCCCTCAAAACAAGGGGGTAGGAACATAACTAATACTGTTATTTTGCATAGTTATCTTCAAAAGAATTACTCAGATTACCGGATATCAACATGAAAAATTGATCTAATCCTATTAATGTTACCTATTTTGTTCCAAGAACTAGTAGAATTAGTAGTAAACTGAGCTATCTTAAGTGTGTATATACAAACTGATAATTTTTCTTTTTCCTTCCTTTTTTCCTTTTCCCTATATGAGTTATTTTTCCCCTTTGAGCAATTTCCTACTCTTTCAGATTTATTGAATAGTTTAAATTTTATTTACTCTTTCAGTTTCTTATATTAGGGAGACAATATGGTATTTACACATGTGAGTCTGATTTATTTCACTTATGAATATGGCCTCGAGTCACATTCACTTACCTATAAATGCCTCAATGTGATCCTTCTTTATAGCTGAGTAGTACTTTATTGTATAAAACACCACACTTTTTTCATCCATTTCTCAGTTGATGGTATCTAATTTGTTTTCAAGAATTGGCTATTACCAATTGTGCTGGTATACACATGGGCTCACATATATCACTGTGGTATGATATTTTCAGTTTTTCTGAGAATATGCCCGGAAGTAGAATAGCTGGGTCAAATGGGATTTCCAAACCCAGCTTTCTGAGGAACCTCCAGACTGACCTCCACAGTGGCTGCACCAGTCTAAACTCCCACCAATAGTGCAGAAGAGTTCCTTTTTTCCCACAGCCTTTCCAGCATTTGTTATTGGTGGTTTTCTTGATCCTGGCCATTCTTTCTGGATGGCCATGAGATGGAATCTTAGTGTGGTTTTAATTTGCATTTCTCTAATAACCAATGATACTGAACATTTTTTCATGTATTTATTTTCCATTTGTATTTCTTCAGCTGAGATGTGTGTATTCATCTCAGATGCTCATTTTTGGATTGGGTCTTTGAATTTCAGGGTCCTGATTTTTAAAAATTATTTATATGTTCTACATAGAAGTCCTTTGAGGGACAGTTGACTAAGATTTTTTCCCAATTTGTGGGTTTTCTTTGCACTATGTTGGAGATTTCTTTTGACATGCAAAAACTTTTTAATAAGATGAGATCTCAGTTGTTAATTCTGAGAAGTATTTCCTGTGCGGTTTGGTTTTTGTTCACGAATTCTCTGCCTATCCCTATGTCTTCAAGATTTCCACCTACTTTATCTTCCGGCAGTTTCAGTGGTTACATTGTTTTAAATTTTGTTTCTGCTTGAAATATTTCACAACAAAATAAAGAAAATTAAATTGTTTAATTTACTCATGCTTCCTTTTCTTTTTTATTATAGAAAGTATTTATCTTTTCTGGAACTTTTAGAAAAAATTTGGATCCCTTTGGACAATGGAGTGATCAAGAAATATGGAAAGTTGCAGATGAGGTAAGAAATAATAGTTTTAAAGAGATAGCTTATGTGCACAAAAGAGTGGTCATCATAGCTGAGATGATTTCCCACATTTGTACTTTTGTGTGCGTGTGTGCGTGTATGTGTGCAACTTTAAGTACAGAAGGGGGCCAAAGTAATGCTATCTATGTACTTCTGTACTTTAAGTACCCTAATTTTTCCAGAGCACCCCCATTCTTTGAATTAGACCCATTTCTTTGCCCAGTTGGGCTCAGGCCCATTTGGATTGCTGTAACAAAATACCATAGAATGGGTGGCTTGCAAACAGCAGATACTTAATTTTTCACAGTTCTGAAGTCTGGGGAGTTCAAAATAAGGCATTGGCAAGTTAGAGACTGGTGAGAATCTGCTTACTCAGAGACAGACATGTTTTTGCTGTGTGTATACATGGCAGAATGGGCAAGCTAGCCTTCTGAAGTCTCTGATAAGGCACAAAACCAAGCCATAGACTGTGTAGAGTCCTTTTAAAAGAGAACCTTAACTAACTTGCAAGTGACACATTTTAAGATCTTTGATATGACTTCATTGGGTGAACTGTAGGAACACAGTGTGTGGGAAAAGACTTGAGAAGAAAGATACTGGACTTTATAATAATTTGCAAGTATTGCCAAGTCACCACTAAATGTACAGGAAAGAGGATCATAAAACAGTCACTTCCCAAAGGCCCCACATCCTAATACCATCACTGTAGGGAATAGGATTTCAACACATGTGTTTGGAGGGGTCATGACCTTTCACGCTATAGACCGTCCCATAGATAGCATTACTTTGGCCCCCTTCTGTACTTTCTCATCCACTCCTGTGGGCTTTGAAGCCATCCTAACATAAGGAAGAGGCTTTAGTCTAATACGATATACTACTCTGGGAAGCACAGGTTTAGCACAAAAGGATAATGTTTATTCCAGGGCACATCAGGTAACTGTACTCATCTCTGGAAGCTACTAGTTGTCTGTCTTCAAGGATGTGGCTACAAGCAGTAGCAGGCAAAATGACACATGACCTACACAAAGCATATGCCATCCTTTGAATTCATTAGGATGTCATGCAGGAGAAGTATGGGTTAAAATGGAATCAAAATTCCTAAATAACATCCTGGGTTTATGTTTATCCAGCAGATTACTCATAATTGAAAGCACTATAGAGAAAAGAGGGGGAGGGCACTTAAGTCAAATTTTTGGCTCTTTTAACAGAACATTCTATCTGTAAACTGATAATCTGTGAAATACAGGTATGGTTTAAAGAAAAGGGAACATTTCATTCTGTTTTGTTAACTCTGAATTTTGGCAAAATAGAATCATGAGACACAAGAATACTGAGACACAAAAGGTTTTACTGAACAACTTTATTCTATTTGCTGTACTTTTGGTCCTGGTGACCCAATTTATGTTTATCCCAGATGTTCCTCCCTTCTGCGCTTCCCTTTTAAGTAGACCTTGCCAGGAGCTTTGAAATACCTGTCAGTGCTAAACACTTACCAGTTGAGTGCCCAACCTTAGCATGCCCCTCATAAAATGTTCTTAGATTAACCGTTTTCATTATCAAGGTTTCCTTATTACCCAACAAATTCAGGGGCTTTAAAGAAAACATTAACTAAATTGCAAGTGACACATTTTAAGATCTTTGATGTGACTTCATCGGGTGAACTGTAGGAACACAGTGTGGTGGGAAAAGACTTGAGAAGGAAGATACTGGATGTTATAACAATTTGCGAGTACTGCCAAGTCGCAATAAAATGTACAGCAAAGCAGGATCATAAAATAATTTAAAATTTGAAGAGACGTGGTTAAGACTTTAAATACCAATACAGTACAGATATTTACATGTCTTAAATTTTTATTTGATCAGTCCATATCTAGCATCTTTTCATCAATTCCCTCTGTAATAATTTGTAATTCATTAACACAGGTGATGAAGCTGTCCCAACGGTCCTATGGTTTTTGTTGAAGAGGCACCAAAACAGTATACAAGCTAGCAAATCAGTAGCTGCCTAGAAAAGGGAAAAAAGCTGTTGGGCTTAGAGGTTTTAAAGTCTACTCTTCTTTAATCTCATAGGGTTGATCATATAATTTATGCAAACAAGAATGTTTTGGGGTATGTCAGACCCTAAAGTGGATATGACCCTGAGATGAAAATTGCAAATGATTGTTGACTTCCTAAGTAGCTTCTCCTGCAGCTCTGCAGGTCTTGGTAAACCCCATGCTTGACCGCACATCTTTAGATGGCTCCTTATTGCCTGCTGGACAAAGTTAACAGTATTTAAAATGGCTTACAAGAACCTTCATAACTTAGTTTTTATTTGCCTCTCTAATCTCACTCTCCAGCTCTCCCCCATTCCCATGATTTAGTTATCCTGATTTTCCTTGCTTTCTTTAAAGCACCCTGAGTGCCCTCTGTTCTCCGAGCTTTACCCACATGCTGTTCTCTGTACTTTGGAAGCTCTCGCAGTCTGTCGCTGCTGGTTTCTATTCATGGGTTAGGCCTCTCCTAACCATACTGCTTCTCCTGAAACCTGCATCAGTGCTTCAGGTTTGAGAGAGGATCCTTTTCTATGTATATCCTCTACCTTCTCCCCTTTCCATACATTCATAATATTGGATGGGTATTCACTTCTCACCTTGTCCATGTCTCCCACAGGATTATAAATGTGTCAAGGTCAGAGGTCATTTTCTATTTACACGGTAGCACTTCCAATGCCTAGAATGCTGTTAGCTACATGATTGGTGTTCAGTAACTATTGTTGAATGCATGAAAGGAAGAAGTCTTTCATTTTATATATAATAAAAGGAAAATAGCTTTGTGATTCATACACAAAAGTATCAGAATCCCTGTTTTAGTAATGAGGATACTGAGTCTTGTGAAGTCTGAAGGCCTTGCTGAGATTGCTGGGGGTGCAGGACCAGGGCTGTGGTGCTGACTTCCCTTCCCCGAGCTGTTTCACCCCAGAGAACAGTCACAGTGCTGTTACTAATCTGAGTACCATGACTGTTGGTTTTAGAATGAGGGCTTTTTAGCCATCATTTGTTTCTGAGATTACTTGCAAAAGTTTCTGTCCTTACACTGACAGTCAAGTAAGTTATTTTAGAAGCAAGCTAAATAGCAGACAGAGTGGCCTTTTAAATTGGAAATTTGCCCTGTAAACTACAGAGTAGGAGCAAAAGGAGTATCAAAAGGAGGGGAGAGTATCTATTTGGATAACTTCCCACTAATTGATTATTAGTTAAACCAAAATTCATTGTTCTGATTTTTTTGTCCTTATCACAAGAGCACTCTGTTGCTTCATAATAACATTGCGGGGTATAGCAATAGGAATAACTAACATTTTGAACAAAATTCGTAATATTTACAGACTGTTAAACCTTTTTAGTGTCACATGTTACAAAGCAAAATTTCTTAATAACAGTCCAGAAGTTACATGAAATTTATTAACTCAGCAGCACAATGCTGGAAAATTATTTTGTCTTTAAACTTCCATATAGCTACAAAATGTTGATGCTCTTATTTATTTTTAATGCTAGATTGGAATGAAAATAGTGAGAAAAATTTAGATTCCAAGTTAGAAGTTTAGATTTTAAAATCATCTTGGTTTCAACAAAAGTGAGCTAAAGTTTATTTTTAATCTATTGAAAAATGGTTTGTAATGATAGTATTAATATCATATTGGTATAGATAAATGTATTTATATGCGCTGTGTATATTGTATGTACACATAGACGTGTGCGTATACAGTACATCTACATAAACTCTCATTACCAGACTACTGAAGGGATACAAACATAGCAGTCTTTCACATCCAGATGATTAGTAGGCAAATGTAAGCCATTTCTATCAGCACATATAATTGGTGACAATAACATTATATCTTTTCCATTTTCTTTCAAATGACTATCACAAAATGTAGCAGAAAACACATGCTTTATAAATTTGATAAATGTTCATTGAATTCACAATTTTATTTATTCACTTACATTGCCCTATCCCCAGTGAATAGGATTCTAAAAGAATTTTACACTGTTAATTTAATTTCCTATATTCTGAAATGGGAATTTTCCAAAATTCCCCCCTGAATTAGTGAATTTCACTGTCATTTACTGTTTTTTTGCATCTAGACTGCTATGTTATGTGTTCCTTCAGTACTCTGGTAATGAGAGTTTATTAAATTCTAGGTACTATGATAGACCTGGGAATTCAAAAAATAAATAATAGTAGGCCCTGCCTTGAAGGAATTCACAGCCCAATAGGGGAGGAGAACAATGATAAGTGAAAAATTACTGTTCAAGAGATAAGTATTACGGGCAAAGAAAAGCAAAAGACTGAAATGCAAATGGCTATAGAATTATTTAGTGAATAGCAGAAATCATACATCCATAAGTACGTGTTTATGTAGAGTGTAGACTGATGCAACCACTGTGGAAATCAGTATGGAGAATTCTCAGAAGACGAGGATTGGAAGTTCCATTCAGTCCAGCTATTCCCCTCCTGGGTATTTTCCCAGAAAAACTGAAAAGGTCATATCACAGTGATATATGTCATTTACTTTTTAAACTCTGTCCTCTAAAAACTGATTGTAATACACATTTAAGTATTATTTACTTGTAATGAAGAACATATTTTGCTTAGCTCTTACCTTAGGGAAGTGCAAAGTATAACATACTAAGGGACCTGTTTTAGGGTGGCCTTCGGCAATTACTGTATGATTGACATGAAACTGTAGGGGGATACTCTATGCTTACCAAAATCTCCACCCTGTTATTGTGAGCGTAACTTAATAGTATTGTAGTATGCTGTTAATTTACTTTCCAAGGCAACTTGTAATAGGGCAGATTTTGTAAACTTTATTGTCACCTTTAAGTTGGTGTTTTATTGCCTGAATTTGTGTCCTTGGGATTTCCCAAGTTCCAACAATCCTAGTAATGATTTTGTACTTACCTTGTGCTTGACTCTGTGGAAACCTCTTTCCACAAATTTGCTTGATTAATCTTTACAGCAACTCATAAGTTGATGGTATTGTTTTCTTTTCTTCTTCTTTTACATGTGAGACACATGAGACTTAAGGTAACATGCCTGACGTCATGAGCAAATGAGTAGAGGAGTGAACATTCAAACTTCAGAGCTCCACTCTTTAACTGGACCTTTTCTTTCTCATGTGCGCGTATTTGTGTGTGTGTGTGTGTGTGTGTGTGTGTTCCTGGGGATTGAACCCAGGGCCTTCACACTGTATCTCCAGCTCTTTTTCTTTACTTTTATTTTGAGACAAAGTCTCATTAAATTTCCCAATCTGGGCTTAAACTTGTAATCCTGTTTCAGTCTTGCAGAGTGCTGAGATTACAGTCATGTGCCACCAAACCTGGTGTACTCAGGATTTTTCTTGATGGTTAGTTTAATAAAACAATTTTTAAATAATACTACTGATATGAAATAATGTACTGATTTGTTATCATTAGGATAATCTAGTTTTGTGATTTTTATATTAGTAGAATTTTATGGAATCTTAAAGATTTACAGGCCAAGTGATTTGTTGTATTATTATATACAGGCAGCACTGAAACTGTACCCATTCATTCATCTTTCATACGTATATTTTTGTGAACCTTTCAGAAACCACCTAGAATTTGTCATTTCTAGTGCCTCTTGGTTTACTTGGCTGTTAAAAAATACTCACTGGAAGTTTCCTGAATTATTGAAGCTTAGGGATGAAATAAGCCCTCAAGTGATCCTTTAGCGCTATCAAGATTATAGACTTTTGCTCAGTCAAACTCAAATAGTGGGAGTTGGGGTGGGTATTAATATCAAATTGAATCTTTCCAAACTTTTATATGTATTTTTAGCTTGTTAACCTCTTGAGTGATTTTTAGCCATGTGGTATTTCAAGTGAGATATTTCTCTAAGCACAGTGTTTTACCTCTTTCTTTATGCAGGTTGGACTCAGATCTGTGATAGAACAGTTTCCTGGGAAGCTTGATTTTGTCCTTGTGGATGGAGGTTATGTACTAAGCCATGGTCACAAGCAGTTGATGTGCTTGGCCAGATCTGTTCTCAGCAAGGCAAAGATCTTACTGCTTGACGAACCCAGTGCTCACTTGGATCCCATGTGAGTCTCTAAAGGCCTGTTACAGCCTATTACTTAATAAAACCGCAGGGGCAGAAACAATGAAACCTACATCATATTGGTACAAATTCCCATTAGGGTGTCATATCTGCAAGTGGAAGACTTCCCCCCTTCACTGAGATACGAGCTCAAATGCCTACGTAACAGCCCTGTGGTCTCTTCTGACTGTAGTTTTTTTTTTTTTTTTTTTTTTTTAAATTTCATGCAAAGTCTTCCATCTTCTCAACACATGATGAAATATTTAGTCACATGGAAATACTCCGATGCCTATGATTTTTCTTTATATTCCATTTATACTGTTGCCTCTACATGGTGAAAACTATACTTATTTATGAAATTTTCTTCAAAATATTTGTTCTGTTTATGAATATTTAGACTACCCTATAGTTGAAAAGCTGATTGTGACTAATGCTATATCAATGTTATATTACATGTATTTAAATAAAGAAATAACTTAAACTAGGCATGGTGGCACACCCATGTAATTCCAGCTACTGAGAAGGTAGAGACCAAACACAAGGACTCATAGCCCTTGGGCAGCATAACAAGGTCACATGTCATTTTTAAAAACAAACAGTAATTTAAAGAACTAGACAGAACAATGATCATGTTATCAAAGATAAACTTAAATTACCTATCTTCTGTGGTGTCATGTATGGCATTTTCTTTTCTAGTACATATCAAATAATTCGAAGAACTATAAAACAAGCATTTGCTGATTGCACAGTAATCCTCTGTGAACACAGGATAGAAGCAATGTTGGAATGTCAGCGATTTTTGGTAAGTCTTTATATATTTACTTTAGATCTTATTTCTCTTGTAATTCTTGATACCAGTCTTGCATGCTATAATTACTACAAATTGCAACATTATATAAATTCTTACTTAAAATAGCTGTCAAAAGCCACGCAGCTTTATTTAAACTAGCTGTGCAAGCTTTTATTTAAGCTATGAGAGTAAAGTTCAGTAGATCCAAAATAATACCATTTTATTACATGATATTCATCAATCAGGTATTTATGGATTTTGAGGCCTTTACATGGGGACCAAGTCATAAAAAATACTCTACTTTTAAAAAATAAAAAAGTCTTTCTAGTTCTTTGAGTCTCCCTAAATCTTCCTTGGTTAGGATGCAGAGCTGTCCTAGTTGCCTTACAATCTGATTTATGGTTTTAATGCAGTGGCTGTCAATTGTTTAGTCATTATTTGGTGCTCAGGTTAGTGCCTCTCCTTGTGTTTTTAAAACTGTCATAGATTCTTTCAAGTGATGTTCACAAATTCCCTCTAGTTTAGTCACAAGGAAGTTGGAGGATAATGTATTATGTCATCTCTCATAAGGCTTTGCAGCCTTCAGGAAAGAAATGCTTTCCTTAAGAAGAATTTGTATTACCATCACTATTAGTAAGCTCCAAGTGACAAATTAGGGAGCAGACTCATAATCTCTTGCCTTGTCACGGACAAGTGTAGGAGGCTGGATAAGGTCTTCTATCCTTGCTTTGAGTTTGCTGAGCTTTTAAGCACATGGAAAGGATTTGAAGTACATACTGTCCAATTTGGAATTGTTGAGCTTTAGATGTGCTTGTGAAGAGGTTTGGTGCTGGATTGTGCTGTGGATTTAACTCATTTTTAAGGTGCTATATTAGGGATTTGTCAAGAGTCATTCTTGTCATCCTCTAAAACTCCCCTGAAGAAGCATATCGTTTTGTTCTAATTATTTTTTAAGTCCAGTTGCTACGTGGAAAAGTAAGTTGGTAGGGTCTCCTTAAAGCAAGAGGATGCAGCAATTAATGAAACATATGTAACGTATATTCGGGAACACTGTGTTTTCCCTTGGCTTTTATTTTCCTTTGGGCTTCTGCCAATTTCTGTTCCTGTTCTGGTCTGGTCCGCCTTCTACCTGACATCTCACTAGTGTACACTTCCCTAGGTCATAGAAGAGAACAAAGTACGACAGTATGATTCCATCCAGAAATTGCTGAGTGAGAAGAGCCTCTTCCGCCAGGCCATCAGCTCATCAGACAGGCTGAAGCTCTTCCCCCATCGCAACTCCAGCAAGCACAAGTCACGGTCTCAAATCACTGCTCTGAAGGAGGAGACAGAAGAAGAAGTACAAGAAACAAGACTTTAGAAACCAGTGCAAATGTTTGCTTGGGACATTTGTTTATGGAGATGGAGAAAAAATCAGCTGCTTCAGAAAACAAGGATGGATGATGCTTTTTTTTTTTTAAAAAAAAGAAGTATTTTGGTAAGAGGAACTAAGGACAGTCACATGGGTAAAATTGTGTGAAAGGTACTTCAAATCCTTGAAGATTTCACACTTGTGTTTTTCAAGCCAGATTTTCCTGAAAACACATGTCCTTTGGTAGTAATTGGAAAGGCAGCTATAAATGTCAACAAGCTTAGTTGTGCAACCTATTGTTAATGAAAAACTTGTTAATTTATATCACTGGAGAAATGAAATCATGCTACTTAGAGATATGATCAATAACAGCTTGATGGTTTATGTAGTTTGTATTACTTTTTCTCTCCTCTCTCTAAGGTATGTAGGCATACAACTATATTGTCTACTAAGCATTCCAGCTGTCTCATTTCCAAGCAAATACTTACAATATGCAAGAGTCACAAGATAGCCCATTAAAATATGACCATTCAGCATCTAATGATCACTCAGGAATGAGAACTTCCAGATCCTAGAAATCAGTGTTGATACCACACAGCTCTACCAAACATCTAAGTAATGCAAACAATTGGAATGCAACCTGACCTGAGAAATGGTTGCTATTTTCCCCTGTAGAGGATGGACTGACTTCCTTGATGCAAACACTGATATGCCTTTCCAATCCCTAGAGATAATTAAGTCATAAAACCTTTCAACCAGAGAGTGGATAGAAAAATGTGTTAGTGAAAATTGGTACAGGACATTTCTTACCACAAAAGCTCCAAGTTCACAATATGTAGGTAAATAAACCATAGATGCTATGGGTGAACGCACAGGAAATCTCAGCATCCTGAGTGAGGTACAGGATGGTAGCAGTGCGTTTTCAGGCTAGCTATATGTGCGTTATACTGTCTACACCAAATGAGAGAGTCAATAGGAAACACCCTGAAGACGATTCAATCATGAACTAGTTTTATATGCTTCTGTTTTATAATTTTGTGATGCAAATGAAATTTTCTCTAGGAAATATTTATTTTAATAATGTTTCAAACTTATATACAACAATGCTGTATTTTTTAAATGATTATGAATTGTATTTGTATAAAATAATTTTTATATTTGAAATGTTGACTTTTTGTGGCACTAGCTATTTTTATGATATATTACATTAAAATAAGGGCAGGGAGGACCTAGTGTGATATGATCCAGGGGCCATGAGTCACCTTTATGGTATAAAGAGAAGAATTGGGGTTGATGCAGACATTATGCACATCTGTGTGATTCTTGGCCAGCACACAGATACCTCTCAGTTGCATTTCTCTCAGATGAAAAAGATGTTAAGAAATCTGACTGTTCCTAACAAGGGCAAACTGCCTTTCCAACTCCAAACTAACTCTTAAGAAGATCTCATTATATTTATTACTGTAAGAAAATACCATGTGTCAATAAAAATCCTTATATTTGTGGGATGTTCATTTGTTTTGGGTTGTATTCATTAGTCATGTTTTGTTTTTGATCTCTTATTTAGTCCATAAACTTCATACAACACAAAACATGAATCTCTCCTTTTAATCTCTTTCAGAATCTCATATGAATTAGGATGCAAATTTTAAAGTTATCTTTTTGAATTGAAGTAATATAATAGCTACCATTCCAACCATTTTAAAATACAGTTCAGTAACCTTTTATAAATTCACATTGTGTAATGACCATTCATTTACAGAATTTTCTTCAACTTGAAAAATTGAAAATCCTTACCCATTAGATGATAACTCTTCATTCCTCTATCCTGGAAACCTTGATTCTACTTTCTTTCTTCCTGTCTTTTTTTTTTTTAACTTCTTGAGACAGGATTTCACTATGCAGTTCAGACTGGCCTTGAACTTGTAGTCCAGGCTGGTCTCAAACTCACAGTGATCCTCCTGCCTCAGCCTTCCCAAGTGCTGGGGTTACAGGCATGTACTAGCAAATTCTACTTTCTATGTTTATGAATTTTGATTACTGTAGCTAATTCCTAGGAGAGGACTCATATAATATTTCTTTTGTGTTTGGTGTTTTTCACTAGCATAAGTCTTTAAGGCTCATCTATATTGTATCATATGTCAGAATTTTCCTTTATAAACCTGTACACTCTCTCTCTCTCTCTATATATATATATATATATATAATACATATTTATATTTATAATATATATTTATACACATATAAATATAAATATATACAATCCAAGAAGATGCAATGAAATGGAAGCAATAATAAAAAAAACCTTTCTGACCAAGAAAAAAATCAGGTCTGGCTGGATTCAGTGATGAATTCTACAAAAACTTCAGAAAAGATCTAATGCAAATACTTCTCAAGTTCTTTAATGGAAATGAAAGGGAACTAATGCTCTCAAAGTCTTTCTTCAAAGCTACTATTGCCCTGATTCCAAAACTAGACAAGGATCCAAGCAAAAAGAGAGAGCGATAGATCAATCTGTTTAATAACTGTAGATGTAAAAATCCTCAGCAAGATACTGGCAACAAAAGGGAATACATGGTCAAAAAGATCATACATAATGACTTCATCTCAGGAATGGATGGATGGTTCAAAATATACTTATCAATAAGTATAATATATCATATAAACAAGCAGGGACAAAAATTACATGATCATCTAAATAGATGTATAAAAAATCTTTAACAAAACCCAACACTTTTTCATAATATAAGAAAATAGGTTTTAAAAAAAACTTATCTCAACCTGGTAAAAGCCATTTATGAAAAATTTTACTGCTAGCATCATATTAAATGAGGAAAAACTGAAAGCATTCCTTCTAAAATCAGAAACAAGACAAAGATGTCTGCTATCACTGCTGCTGTTCAAAATAGTACTTGAAATACTAACAAGAAAAATTAGGCAAGAAAAATAAAATATATATAGGAAAGGAAGAATGAAATTATTATTTGTAGATGACAGGTTTCACTATAGAGAAGACCCCTTAGATAATTTACCAAAAGACACCTAGAATTAATAACCAAATTCAGATATGTAGCAGGATACACAGTCCACACACAAAAATCAATGCTGTTCCTGTATACCAATAATGAACGCAGTGAGAAAGAAATTCGAAAAAATACCACTCACAATAGTACAAGGAAAAATAAATACTTAGGAATTGACCTAAGGAAGTGAAAAACCTCTACAATGAAAACTATAGTACTTTGTAAAAGGAGATCAAAGAAGGCATCAGAAAATGGAAAGATATCCTTTGTTCCTAGTTAGGCAGAAACAATATAGTCAAAATAACTATACTTTCAAAATGAACATTGAGATACAACCCAATCCCAATCAAAGCACCAACAGCATTCTTCATTGAACTGGAGAATCTCAACAATCCTAAGGTTCGTATAGAACTAGAGATCCAGAATATCAAAAGCAGTCCTAGGCAACAGGAGAAAGGCAGCAGCTATCACAATTCGGGTTTGAAGTTGTATTACAAAGCTACAGTGATAAAAACAGTATGTTACTGGTACAAATACAGTCATGAAGATCAGTGAATATATAATACAGGATGTAAAAACAACCCCAGGCACGTTCAACTATTTGATCTTTGACAAATAACTGAAATGTACACTGGAAGAAAGCTTTTTTAATAAATGGTGTTTGGAAAACTGGCTAACTTCATGAAAAAGATTGAATCTAGCTAGACCCATGCCTCTCACCAGGTATTAAAATCAAAATGGATTAAAAATGTAAATGTTTAAATAGAAAAACGTAAACTACTGAAAGATAAAATTGGTAAAACTCTTAAAGACATAGTTATGGACAAAGAGTTTCTGAACAAAACCCACATTATGCAGGGAATAGCACCAAGAATCAATAAATAGGTTTATAGCAAATTTAAACCTTCACACCAAAAGAAACAACTAACAGTAAAAAAACAACCTACAGAGTAGAAAACAAAATTATGCCACATGATTCCTCAGGCAAAGGACTAACATCTAAAATAAATGTAGAATTCAAAAACATAAGAATCTCAAGCTAAAAGACCCAATAAAAAAATAGGCAACTAGCTGGGCATGTTGGCACACACCTGTAATCCCAGAACTTGGGAGGCTGAGGCAGGAAGTAAGTTTGTAAGTCTGAGTGCAGCTTGGGCTACAAAGACCAGCCTGAACTGCATAGCAAACTGTCTCAAAAAGACAAAAAACAAAAACAAAAAACCCCAACTGGATACTTCTCAGAAAAAGTACAAATGGCCAGTAATTACATGATAAATGGAAAATGCTCATCATCTCTGACCATTACAGAAATGCAAATTAAAATAACACAGATTTCACTTTAACACAGAAAGAACGGCCACAAATCAGAAATCAACTAATAACAAATTCTGAAGAGGGTATGAGGAAAAAGGAATCCTTCTACGTTGGTGGAAGTATAAACTAGTACAACCATTTTGGAAGTCAGTGTAGAGATTCCTCAAAAAACTAAAACTAGAAATTTCATTTGAATTAGTTATTCTCCTTGTAAGTATCTTCCCAAAAGAATTAAAAACTCAAAAGGGTTAAAGTGTCATTGCAGTGACACATGCATATCCATGTGGATAGCAGCACAATTCGTGATAGCTAAATTATAGAAACAGCCTCTATATCCATCTACACACAATCTGTTAAATAAAATGTGGTATTTATACCTACAGAGTACTATTCTGCCATAAAGGAAGAGAAATTTGAGTCATTTGTAAGAAAATGGATGCACCTTGAGAACAGAATATTAAGGGAAATAACACACTAGCTGAAAATATTGCATAGTTTCTCTTATGTGAGAAATTAAAATTCTAAATAAAGAGCAAAACAGAAGATAATAATGAGATAGGTCTTTCTCAAATGGGAAGGGAATCAAGAGATGAAGGAAGGATAGGAGGGAAAGGAGATAAATAAAGAAGTTAAAATGTGTTATATTCAAGCATTAACCACATGCTAGAAATGTAAACCTTATATACTGCAAACGTGTTAATAAAATAGAAGTAAGTTACACTTTATTATATCTGTACCATAAATTTTAGTTGTCTTGTTCACATTGGTT